GCCGCCGCCGCCTCCGTGCCGGCCGTGAACGGCATGAACAGTCTCACGGGGCTCACCTTCCCCTGGATGGAGAGCAACAGGCGCTACACGAAAGACAGGTTCACAGGTGAGTCGGGGCCCCGAGATCCCCTGTCCCGTCCCGTCCGTCCGCGCTTCCCTTCTCCCGGCGCGGCAGAGCCGGACACGGCGGCGCCCCGGGTTGCTCGGCAGAGCAGCACGAGCAAGAAAGGGAGTAAATCGGGCGCATCCAGGCACCCATAGATGCGTTTCGTTTATTTATTTTTTTCTTTTATTTTTCCTTTTATTTTTTTTTCGTTGTTGCTGTTTTCTTTCCACACACAGGGCCCGCTCCTGGGCATGGCTCTCCCGGTCTTCACCGAGCAAAACCCGCCGCAAAGTTTGCCCCTAAATTTAGGGATATTTTTAGGCACTAAATCCGACCGTCCCAGGAGCGGCCGGCCCGTGTCCAGGCGCTTTTAAAGCTAAGCCCTTAATATATATATGTGTGTGTGTGTGTAAATACACATTTTTTTTTGTCCCATGCATGTTGCTGTTCCTGCTTCCTCCGCTGCCAGTTTCAATCCCTTTTTTTTTCCCCCATTGAAACGGACTTTTGGTAGCTGGAAGCCGCTGCCTGGACCCGCCGCCTTTTCCCGGTGCACCTGGGTCTGTCGCTCGGTGCTAACAAAGCCAGAACTCAAACGAAGAGGTTAAAATTGCAAAGAAATGGGAATGGGGAGGAATTAGCCTCCCCGGCCGGCAGCGCCCGGATCGAACCCTCTTCTCGGCGGCGGAAGCCGGGCCCGATTTTTGCAAGTTCATGCTTAATTTCGATCTGATCGCACATATTTCGATCCGGTCGCCCTCCGATAGCGGCGGAGGGCGTAAAAACGGGCCGTTTCCTAGGAAGGCATGGGGCTCGCTCGTTTTTCTTTTTTTCTTCTTTTTTTTTGTTGTTTGTTTTGTTTCGTTTTCAGAGCACCTCTTCGACCCAGCAGCGCAGAGAAATGCCGCGAATTTTACCGATTTTAATTATCTCGGGAAAAAAGAAAATAAGGAGACAGACGAAAAAAAATAAAAGCAAACCAAACGCGAACTCTCATTTCCAGCACCGGGAAGTCGGGGTGGCGAATATCGCCATGCCATAAACGATATTTTAGCGGTGTCGCGGGAGGGGACAGCGGTGGCTGCGGGTTTGAACCTGGCACCGTCCGTCCCGCTCCCGCCGCGAAGCTCCCTACTCTGCCGCGCTTCCCTTTCGCTTTTTCGTTTCTTTACGAAAACGGCTTGAAATCTCTCTTGCTCGGGGTCCGCCGGCGCCCCCCGCCCTCCCTCAGCCCTTTTCTCTCGGGGCAAAGCCGGGAAAGGAGTTGCCTCCGGGCACGGCAAAGCCCAGCAGGGCTGCGGGTGTCACCCCGTGCCTGGGGCCCGGCGGGGGCGCGGGGCCGCGGCCGGCCCTCTGCTGATGTCTTGCTGCTTGCTTCTTTGCCCTCTCATACCCCCTCCCATGTCCCCCCCAGTGGCCCTCTCACCCTTCACTGTAACACGCCGTATAGGTCACCCCTACCAGAACCGCACACCCCCCAAGAAGAAGAAGCCACGCACGTCCTTCACGCGCCTGCAGATCTGCGAGCTCGAGAAGCGTTTCCACCGGCAGAAGTACCTGGCCTCGGCAGAGCGTGCGGCCCTGGCCAAGGCCCTCAAGATGACAGATGCCCAGGTGAAGACCTGGTTCCAGAACCGGCGCACCAAGTGGAGGTGAGGATTTGGGGCTGGGGGGAGTGGAAAGCGGGTGCGGGGAGATGGATGTGAATATACTTGTGCTGTGTTTTCTCTCCCTGCTGTGTGTATACAGCTCGTGTGTGCCCACCTTCTGGGTGTGCGCATGCATGCAGGGAGCTGTGTGTGTGCTCATGCACAGTGTGCCTGAGGGCGGTTTTGTGCAGGTTGTGTGTTTGTCTGGGGGGTGCACACACATGCCGCGTGTATGTGTGAGCATGCGGGGCCTGTGCACGGGCCTGGGTGTGCATGCACGCAGGGTGTGTGCACAGTGTGCACAAGTGTGGTGTGCACTTATGTGTGAGCACACCGCTGTGTGTGTATGCAGTGTGTGCATGTACGTGTGTGAGTGTGCGTGCAGGGCTCATTTGTGTGCATGCAGGGTGTTGTGCAAGAGGTGTGGGAGGTGTGCGCTACCAGAGGCCCCCGCAGCCAGGGGTGCAGCGGCCCCCACAGCTCCCTTGGTGGGGGTAGTGGGTGGTGGGGGCTGCTGTAAGCACCTGGCTTCAGCTTAGAGTGGAGCATGGGGCACCACAACGACCACTGGTCAGAGTTGTGCTGAGGGGCCTGAGCTTGGAGGCAGCAGAACGGCTGAACTTGTCCCAGTGCTGGGGCTGTCCTGAGCAGCCGTGTGTGGCCATGGGACTTGCCATTGCTGGAGGGGAGCAGAGAGAGAGGATGTCTGGGTCAAATCCTGCTCTATCCTGGTGCATTATGTCCTGCATAACACACTGCTTTTCACCTCTTTGGAGTTTGTTTCTTCTTCTGGCAAAAATGCTTTTTTTCTCCTCTGAGATATGAGGATAAAGGCTGGCAGGAGAGGAGGAGGTGGCAGGGTTCACATCGAGGTTCCCGGTCTCTGTCACTGTGCCTGCCTTTCCCTGCTGAGTGTGGCTCCACAGGGCATCCACAAGGAGATGCCCCAGCTCCAGGAGCCTCCCCTTCTCCTGGGGCAGCTTCCCCAATGGGTCAGAGAAGGGAGATGAGTGCTGGGTGCCTTGGCACAGGCTGCATGTAGGAGGCATCTTCTGTTTTCCCTCAGTGAGAACTCGCTGAATGAGGCTTGCATGACCAGATCACACAGGAAAGATGACTCTAGGAGTGCAGCTGTGGCAGACTGAGCCTAGGTGTTTTGCAAGCAACCTGGAGGGTCACTCCTCCCTCCTGGCTGTTTCTACAGCTTCTTCAAGGAGGGAGAAGAGGGCTTCCCCAGGGTCTCCTCCCAGGAGATTGAGGTTGCCTGGGAAGGCTGGAGTTGGAAAGAGATGGGAGAAGAGGACAAGGAGCTCTGAAAGCAAGGGAGCGGGTGAGTCCCCACTGATGGGCTCTTTCCTAGGGACTCCATATGCCAGGAAGTCTCTGGCTGGAGTGATTTCTGCTAGCCAGGAGGAAAATCCTGGAGGAGGAGGAGGAACAGTCCCACTAGGGCCTGCAAAGGGGGGTCAGCTTTGTCTTCTAACCTGGTTTCCTAAGGAAGTGAGGCAAATGCAGCTTGGCCGGGTCTCCCTGTGTCTGTCAATAGTCTTTGAGCCTGCTGGCCAAGTTCAGCCCCTTTGGCAGAGGATACAAACCTATTTAGATATTTCACAAAAATAGCTGGGTAAAGAGACGTAAATGCCTGGTTCCCTGTAAGGGAAAGGCTGCAGCATGATCTCAGCCACAGTATGAGACGTGGGAGAATCCACCCTGGCATGAACCGGAGGGTCACAACCTCATAAGTCCTGCCATTGGCAGTGTTTGCATTCCTGGATGGGTTAGTGGTGAGCGTGGGCGCTCTTGGAGAAGGGGGAGCAGGGAATTGTGGCCTCCGTGCTGGGCAGCCGGCCCAGATGCAGCCCCTGGGCTGGTGTCAGACACCAAGCAGTGTCTCAGGGCCACCAGCTCCCCGGTTGACCCAGCTGCGGGTCCCTCCTTCCTCCCGGGAGCATCTCGCTATTGTGCCGGGAGCCATGAAATATTAATGGCAGCAGAGCTGGAGCCGCTCGAGCCCCTCTCCCCGGGATGCCTGACGGGAGACATTGACACGGTGATTAGAGCAGGGACCTGAGCCCAGAGCTACCTGCTTCCCGGCTGGAGCCCTGCCGTGAGGACGGAGTCCCAGAGACCCATTCCCTGATGTCTGCGAGGATCACTGGTAAATCGGAGGTGGCTATAGCTCCCAGAGTGAGCCAGGAGCACAACAGGGTCAGGATTTTCATTGTGGATTTAGGCATGTCCTCTTTTCCCAGAAATTCCAGAGCTTGGACTGTAGCAGAGCTGGAAGGGACAGTTGGAGTCCCCTAGTCACCCCACTATTAGGCTGAGCTCTGTCCATGTCTTTCCAGTGAGATGTGTGTTTAACCTGCTTTTATAAACTTCCTGCACTCTCTGTCCTGGCTCTCTTTTCTTTGAGTTTGCTGCTAAAGTTAGTTTCTAGCATCTCGCCTATATTCTGCTTGTGTCTTAAGCGTGTGAGTCCCTCTGCTAAAATCCCTTTGCTCCTAGGAGGCAGACAGCAGAGGAGAGGGAGGCAGAGCGGCAACAGGCAAACCGCATCCTCATGCAGCTGCAGCAGGAGGCTTTCCAGAAAACCATCAACCAGCCCATCCAGGCGGACCCCATCTGCGTCCACAATTCCTCGCTCTTCGCCCTGCAGAACCTCCAGCCCTGGTCCGATGACTCGACCAAGATCACCAGCGTCACCACCGTTGCCTCCGCGTGCGAGTGAGGCTGTCCTCGACCCGGCAGGGCAGCCAGGAGCACCAGGGAGCTCCGCAGGCGTCCGGGATGCTTCGTATGTGGTGACAATGGGGTCTTATCCCCCCCCATCCCAGCCTCTTTTGTCCTCATGGAAGCCCTGGGTGCCGACCATGAACTTCCCGACGCGCCGCCAGACAAAGCCGAGCCCTGAGGGACAGGGCAGCCGCCGCCAAGAAAACTTCCTGCAGGTCCTGCTGGCGGCAGCGCGCAGCCTGGCTCTGTCCACACCCACCTCTGTGTAAAAAAAAATATATATATATAAATACACACACGTATATATGCATATATATATATATACATGCACATACGTATATGTGTGTATATACACATTGGACTGGTGGCTCGAAACAGAAGGATGCAGCTCCCTGGAAAGCCTGTTTCTGCATCAGGACACCTCAGCATCGCCCCAGCTCTTGCCAGAGGTGTCCAGGGATGCAACAAATGCAGGAAAATGCCTGGATTTTTCTTTTTCTTTTCTTTTTTTTCCCCTCCTGGCAGCAATTTCTGCTCGCGACAGACTGTGGCCCTGCCGGCTCGCACCTAGCTGTGTCTCCTCCCCTTTTTTCATTAATTTCTTCTGGTGAGGGGGAGAACAAGAGAAGGACGTGACAGACTCCTGAGGACGGTAAATATGATATCTCAGTCGCACCAAGAGCCCAAACAGTCCCTGACCACCACGGACCCCGTGCCGAGCAGCTTGTATTTGAATAATGAGAAGACCTCGGTGGTAATTTGCAGGGTTAACCTGGTTCTTTTCCATGGATTGGTTCCATATCATTTGCAAAATGTTGTCTAATATTTTTCTTTTACCTGTTTTCTTCTAGAGGGCAGTCTGTGATGGTGAAAAGCTGTTTCACTTCCAGCCGTTTTAATGTAGTTGTTTCTTTAATTGTACTGAAGGAATGAGACACAGTTAAACAAAGCACTTCTTATAGCAAATGACAGGAATATATAGATTATATATATATACAGTATATATTTTTCAGTTACTTATAATCTAAAACAGTACTGCCAATTTAAGCAGCTGGTTAACAAACGAGCAATCGGAAAACCTATTTTCAGCAAGATTTTTAAAAGCATTCTTTTTTTTGTTTTATTTTTTTTAAGTTATGCACTTATAAGGTGTTTTATGTATATTCATTTTATAAAGTGCTTGTGTAATTTATGTGGAAACGAGAAAGAAAATAATAAAAAAAAATCTCCAGGGTACTGAATAAATCATTTAATTCCTTGCTCTTCCTGTCTGTTAGCTGCCGGAGAGAAGACAGTACATCAGGATGCTTAATGCTGAAGCTTTTGCTACTTGCTTAAAATGAAATTGGAGCTAGTGTTCCGATTTCACTTATGCTGGAGTCTGCTTTGGAAGCCCTGGTGATAATTTGATATATTTTAATTCCTGATCCTGCAAGCACTTTTGTTCCTCAACCCAGCAGTGTGTTTAGTACCTGCTTTAAGCCTTTGCAGGACTCTCAAGGTGGAGAAGAAAATTGTTCAGGGCCTTGAACACATGTTGAATATTTCCTGGGCATGGTTATGGGCACTTAGCTGGGCTGGGAGTGTTTAGAGGTGTTAGTGCTTAAACTTTATGTAGAAAAATTTTCTATACAGAAATAGGGAGTTGTGTATTTTAAAGACAGCCTTGCAGGGAATTATTCTAGGGACCGAGTTCACCTCAACCTTATTTTCGATCATCTTCCCCGACTGGAGAAGATTTTGTCAGGGGAAAATCAAGCAGGGGGAAGACTCCAGATTTGTTCCCAGGGAAGCTGGGCCAGGATTTCCTGCCAGTGCTGTGGAAAGCTGTAGCTAAAGGATGCTTGGATGGCTGGAAATGCCGGGTGGACGTTCGGCCGCTTGCAGGGAGTCACTGGACCAAAGCTGCAGGGCAAGCTCGGCAAACTCATGCACGCTCCTCTGCGCAAGCTATGCAGCACTGCTGGGGACTTTAAGTGCAAGGGTTAATAGTTTATTCTTTTTTGCCTGATATAATTAATGCAGGATGGGGCTGAATATTGGTGATAGCCAGGGATTTTCTCATCTTGCAGTACAACACAGACAGGAAAACACAGGTCTGCGCCGAGGAGGAGATACAAGAAGCTGAAAATGAAGAAACCTGGAAAAATAAGCAAATTGCAGCGGACACAGATTAGGAAATATTCTTAAAGGATGCCTGACTACTCAGGGGAAAATATATATATATATTTGCTTACTTTTTTCCCAAGGTAAATTTGATTAAGGTCTTTCATTAGAATTGTTTCATGACAGAGACAGGTTTTTAGGAGCCAGTTCAGCTAATAGTTTAATATATGTCCAACTTTGGCTACAAAGGTAATGCAGTGCTTAGGGCTTACTCCTTCAGGAGGCATCACCGAGTGCAAATCTTTAACAGTTCACAGTTTGCTGGAGTGTACAGTTCTTTTTCTTTCTGAGCTTTCTGCATAGGGAAAAAGGCAGTCACGAAATAAGAAAACCGATCACAGTGCTCACTCCTGATATTACAAGTGTTTTCTATTTTATTATTATGACACATCAATATCTTTAAATTTGATTCAGAGACAGCCATTTTATAATATCCACATTACTCATTTCATATTCCAAAATGTTTCCTGGCAAAGTTGAATGTATGATAATGCAAATTCAAGAGTATGTGTTTAGATACAACATTTAGCTATATCTTGTTCTAGAAATTGTTGACTTCCTCCTTTTCATATCAATCTTTCCTGTTAAAAAAAAAAAGCAGACGTTGGAAGGAAGAAATCTTGAAATGACAATATATGTAATATTGGAAGCAGAAAAAATAATTGTCTGGTCTTTTCTGTTCTTGTAGTGATTGCTTTCAGAAGGGACTTCTGTGGAAACATTTCTCCTGAATTCATTCCTAAAATTGTTTCAGTAACAGGAGTTTTTTTGCTATCTGCATATGCACTTCCAGTTATCATCATAATATGATGATCTTCATCTAGAAAATAAAAATTGTCTGAAATATGCTGGAATTAAATCAGTAAGCAATGACATGAAACGGGGAGACATAATTACATGTTTGCCGACTGACATCACCTCAGACATGTCCTGGGGCCATCCATACCAGCTTGAAGGCTGACTTCATTTTTCGCATTATACCTGTTTGCAAACAGGAATAAAACTGCATTAAGAAGCTTGGAGAGTCTCTTCCCCCTTCCATAATCTCCAAACAGAGCAAATCCCCAGCGCGAAGCCAGCATTAGCACAAACTGGTTTTCCACTGTTTGCTCGCCCAGATCTGGGAAATGCAAAGCAAGACAGAGTGCACTTTGGCAGTATATATTATATATGCAATACATGTAGCTGAGCGTATAGGCACTGCGTAGGAGATCATGGAGCGATTGCATACATGGATATTGCTGGTGATGCGTTGGGTGACTGAGAGCAACAGATTTTTTTTGGTTTGCCTATAGATGCACTGAGCTTTCAGAGGCAAAAATCCAGGCGGGGGAAACAGCCCGTGCTGGAGGAAAGCGAGTATGAAACATCTGTGCGGAGCTGAAGGAGACGAAGCCCAGCTGGACATACTGCGGTTGTCTGGGCTCGGTCCCAGTTGGGCATGAGGGACTGCGAGGTCTGGCCCCCATTTAGGCAATTAGCTGAGCCTGGGGTCGCCCGAGCCAGCAGCGGCTCTGAGCCTCGAGTGGGATGCCGGGAATTTCGGCCCAGCCGTGAGGCCTGCAAGCAGCTGCCTGCCCCAACGCAGGCGCCCACATGAGCCTCGTGCAGTGCGGGCCTCGTGGCACTGGCCTTGCGACTGCTGGGGGCCAGCACGTGGTATCTATAGTCTGCTCCTAGCTACCTCGCTGCAGGGTGTTTCTGTAGTCCCCACAAAGCCGTAACCAGATCCTGCTGCCTGTTTTGCGAATGCTTGGATGTATCTGGAATCAGCTGAGAGATTCAGCTCAGGGCTCCTGAGTTTGCGTGGCATCGATGAGAGCGCAGGCCTTGACGGGGCCAAAGGCCTCCCAGCCCAACCCAGTGCCTGCGCATGGATGTATCCTTGCTTGGAGCTGATTTACAGACAAAACTGGAAATTGTTCCCTTCAAAGCTGCTGGGGTTGCCTCAAAAAGCAAAGCCCAGACCATGTCTGGGTTCCTGGGACAGCTGGAAGGTTTTAAATTCATGAGTTTTGTTTTCTCCCAGAAAAGGTTGAGTGACGCTGGTTTCTTTGTGCCACCATGAGCTTTGACTGACACTTATCTGAAGAACACATGAAATCAAAATTGGAGCTATCAAAATGTCCCATTTTGTTTTTCTTTTCTTTTTAATAAAAAGCTTTCCATTTGTGAAGAAAAACTTTTTTTTTTTAAACAGTACAAAAGTACACCGAGCTACTGATTATCACAACAAACTTCTGATAGAATGAAACCATGCTGAGTTTCTCCATTTTTGGTAGACTTTTTGTTTGCAAAACTGTCCAGGACTCTGTTTTCTTTTTTTTTTTTTTTTTTGGCCTTAGTTGCAGCAGGAAATCTGTGGTAATATCCCAGGGCTTGCCCCAGATTTGGACGTCCATGTCTGTCCCTGTTTACTTCCACCAATGAGATTTGCTATTTTGCCATTTTAAATGGGTATTAGTGGGTTTTGCTTTGTTTTGAAAAGTCAAACTTGAAACATCCTAGAGATTTGAACTCCAGAGAGATGAAAAATGTTTGCAGTCAAGCAATGCTGAGTTAACTCAAACTGTCCGCCTGGGCTGGAAGTGCATTAGTCACCATTGTGTCTCCCTTTGCTCATGGGCTTTGGGAGTGGAAAACAAATGATCCTCGTGTATGAGGAGCCTCAAACCTGGTCTTTGAGCAGGAGTGAGGTTTGAGACAACTCGGTTTCCCACTTCCTCTGAAGACTGCAAGCTCCAGCCGTCATGGAGAAGGTTGCAGTGAACCGTCTGTCTCGCATAGACGGCAATAGCCTGAAAATAGTAAACCAGTAATTAAAAAAAA